CCGGAGGAGCCCTCCATGAAGAGGGCCGCTCGCGCCCCTGGTGGGTTTCGTTGGGTTTAGGGTTTAGGTTACTTTTTTTGTTTTTTGAGCTCCTTTTTCCAACCGCGAAACTGTCGAGGGTTTAGGGTTTAGGGTTTAGGGCCCAACCTCCCGCCCCTCAGGGACCCCTAGTCTCTAGAAGCCCGGCGGCCCTCTTCACCTGCGGCCAGGCAATGGGAGTAGGGTTTCTGGGGTGTGTGTGTATATATATATATATAGATATACATATATATACACACACATATATATATATATATAGAGAGAGAGAGAGAGACACTCGAAAAACATCATTTACTAGTGATTTCAGAACTCCCAGATTACATCATTACACCCGAAGCCCTGTTTGGGACCTGCAAAAGCATCGTCCGCCGTCGCTTCGAAGCTGGACCACTCCTCGCCCAAGATCTCCTTCCTCAAGGCTTCAGCTGCAGGTTTGGGTTCCGGGTTTAGGGTTTCGGATTTAGGGGCTTAGTTTCCTTTTTTTTGTGTTTAGGGCCTTGTCTGCGGGGTTTAGGGGGCAGGGTTTCGGGATTTTTGGGAGCTCATGACCCCCAGTACCTAGGAAGAACAAGGGCACCCTTTTTTGGTAGTGGGTAGTTTTTATAAATGAACCAAAGAGACGCAACACTCTACAGGGTTAATATAGGGACCTAATAATTAGAATAGGGTTTTGGGCATACTATCATTATAACAAGGAGCCCCTTATTCAAATAGTACAGGTAATTATTGAGGCCCCTACATTGCAGGGTTAGAGGGTTCATGGTTCAGGGCTTCAGGTACAAGCTTCAGGGCATTGGAGTCTTTGGCCATCCTCCGACTGAAGGACTTTCGAGGCCCGCATCGGATTTTATACGGACCTTCCATAGAGCAGTTTGCGGGAATCAGGACTTACTCCATCTGCGCAGTGTGGATCTGCATTCATTCAGGGAAGGTCAAAACCAAACACCGCCAACCGCTTCAGTAGTGAGCCCTAAACCCTAACCCGCAAGCCCCCGAGCCCAGTACATCAGTGCCGGGATGCGGGTCGACGATGCACAGCGCCCCGAAGCGTTCGGTGCTGCGTTCGGGCCACTCCGCCTCCTCAAGAATGCACATTATGAGCGAACGTGGTGAGATTCCTAAACATAAAAAAATCCTCTCGCTGGATGTCCATTAAAATGATCTTGGAATTCAGGCCGGTATTCCGACGGACTCCGTGCTGGCTTCTCCTATATGTGACTCAACGAAAGCCTTAGACCATCTTGTTGCTGGCGCCTGGGCTGGTGCTTCAAAGCTTCTGGCAGTTGTTAACGCTTGCATTGGTTCGTCGTAGGACGTTTTGTTGTGTGTTCTCACTGTTGCTAGTGCTGCTGCATATGCTGCAGAAGCATGAAAACGACAGTATACATGCCAATGGCGCGACGCATAAGCCCCCAAACCCAACAAGCTGGCAAACCCAAATCAGAGAACTGTGGCCTTGAGAAAAGCCTAGGATTTTGGATGATATTGTCGCAAATTCCTGTAGTCGCGAAGAGCATCATGAAACTCCTACAGCAAGTCCGACCCCCATTCCCACTGAGTTTCGGGGACCACTTGCCACGCTCGGCGCAGGGTGCGGCGCAAATTCCGGCGACCGCTTGTCCGGGACGCAGCTGCTGCCTAAGTTTGGGGGAGTTTGCAAAGGTTGCTATACAGGTTCCGGAGAGGTCTCAGGGCATGAGGTTTTGGCTGCCGGCTCGGGGCATCCCACTGCCCAAGCAAACAGCTTCTGGGCAGTGTGGCGGCTTGCGGCCACATGGTCATGAGCAACATATATGCACATACTCCTTCGAGTGAGTGAGTTCAACATTCAACAGTAACACACTACCAAGAACTCACCCCTGAAGCCTAGATCTCACACGCGACTTGCTGTGTCAGGACATCGGATTTGAAGTTTAATGCTCAGGGTTGGGTCTAGGGTTCGGAATGCAAAGTCTTGGAAGTGCCTAGACCCTATATAGACTCTACGGCTCAAGCTTGCAGTGCTACGGCTTCAAGCTTCCCGAACGGTGAGCTTCAAGTTTGAAGCATTGAAGCGCCCGAAACAGTAGAAAGGTGGTGGAAACTGGGATGCTGCGGCTACTTTCTGAGACCCCTACATTTACAAAACACATAACCAACACCTCGGATCTACTTCATGGGATATCCACAAAGTCGGAGGCCAGATGCCAGAAAACACGACGCAGCCACGAGTGGGGAAGAGTGGTTTTGCGGCCTCGGCCCGGTCTCCTGCACAGCAGCAGTAGCTGGGATCTCAATCTTTCGCAGTGTCGGTGGGGACGCCATTAGAGCAGAAAGCGCTGGCGTGTGAATCGAAGAGCTGAATGTATTGGCCTTCTCAAATAGTTGGAGTGGGATTTTGGGCTACATTATACTATACTTATGATAAGGAACCCTCAACCCTCGGCCCTCAACCCATATCGTACTAGTTATAATAAGGAACCCTAAACCCCAAACCCATGCATATTGTACTCTAAGTGTAGTGAGGACCCCCCTCCAACAAAAAACAAATAGCACTGGGTAATTATTTCCGCCCCTCTGTTAACCCTTATCAAGAACATGAAACTAAACCCGTATTATACTCTAATCTTAATGAGGACCACCCCAAAAATCAAAAAAGTACTGGGCCATTATTTTGGCACCTTTTTAGTAAGCTTGGAACTCCCCAGTTGTTGGGGTCCAGAGTTGGACTTGGAGACCAGGGTACCGGTGTTTGGGGTTTAGGGTTTTGTGGAATGTTTAAAGGTTTTTACGGGGTTTAGGGTTTAGGGGTGTAGGGGTTTAGGGGTTACGGGTTAAGTCAAGTTTAGGGTGTAGGATCACTCAAATCGCTGCAACAGACGCTTGCGTGCTTTCCTGCTCGCTCGCTCGCATGTTTGCTAACACGAAATGAACCTGAAAACCTCACTACCGAACCGATCGAACACACTGCGAAGACAAAAAACTCTTCAACCCCCCAAACCTTGAACACCCAAGCATTCAAAACGAGAGCCAACCCAGAGGCACTACATCCGAATCCCCTACACTCCAGCACGAAGTCCCAGAGACTACAAGCCCAAAAACAGGTTGAAAAGCACCGACTCCCGTAGCCGTTACCGTTACAGTTTCCTTCCACTTTGTATATGAAGTCCAACCCTTTTTGCTAAGCCCCCAACCCTAAACCATCCTACGCCGCAACGTCAAGACAACCTGAGACCTTAAGCCTTAGAACGCCCTAAGCTCGTAAGCCCTGAACCCCATAAGGCCTGGCTCTGTTCCCAACGTCAAGACAACCTAAGACCTTACCCAGAGGGTCCAAGTACCCAAATAGTAAGGTTTTAGGTCCCAAAATCCATACTCTGAATGGTTTTTGGACCTTGAAACCCTACTATTTGGGTACTTGGACTCTTAGGGTTAAGCCTTAAACGCCCTTAGCCCGTAAGCCCTGAACCCCAAAAAGCCCCCTCTGTTCCCAACGTCAAAACAACCTAAGACCTTAAAAGCCTTAGAACGCCCTAAGCTCGTATAAGCCCTGAACCCCAAAAAGCCCCCCTCTGTTCCCGAGAGTCCTCCAAAGCCCTCGTCACTGCCACTCCATGGAGCGCAGAAGGCCGAGCCGTTCCCGGGGGACAGGGTCGGAGCTCCATGGCTCAGAGTTGCAAATAGGGTGTCTGGGGTTGATGGCTCAGGGGTCTATCGGGTCTCTATTAGGCTTAGGGGTCTCTAGGATTTCGAAGGTTTCGGGCTTCTGCGTAGGCGTAGGGTTTAGGGCTTCGAGGTGGGTCCCAGAAAAAAAAACACAGTACTTAAGATACTTGAGAAGGGCTTCTATCAGGATTTTGGGTTTAGGGTATCAGGGTTCTTTTAACTCCATGACTTCCACAAGGGCTATTGGAAGCGGTGCCTGGAAGGGGTCTCATGATCTCTTCCCACGTGTAGGGGCCTGGATCGGTCTAGTGTATTTCATGGCTTTTCCCTAAGAGCCCAATGGCGTGTACAGTAGGTTGCTGGGATATGTGTACTCTAGAACTTGTACTTACTAGAAGCTCCATATTTAAATCGGGGCAGACATGGTTTAAGGCTTTAGGGAACACTAACCTGCTATCTCCAAGCGGGATACGGCAATCATGATAGGGAAGGTAATATAGTCATAGCAGCAGTATGTCAAGACAACAAGAAAAGCACACTAACATTAACAATAACAATAACATCAACAACCAGAAATAACAGTAAGAGTAACAATAAATAAAACAGTAATAGCACCAGTACGAACAAGTATATAGTAAGTGCCCAGGGTTTCTGAAAGCTGGCGAGCTTGGTCCAAGCCTTCCGGGAGTGTAGGGCTGACGGGCTCTTGGGAGCTTCACGGCTGTTGGGGATTAGGGCTTTAGGGGTTAGGGTGTAGGTTAGGGCTTTTCGGGTGAAGGGTCACGGGTGTTGGAAGTTCGAAAGGTTCTTTATCGGGCCTGGTTTTCCCGGATGTGGTCTTCGCGGTGAGGAGGCTTGGCCTTTTGACTGAGGTGCATAACTGAGTCGTTGTCACCGGGGTTTAGGGTTTAGGGTTCTGAGGGACAGCTTACAGTTACAATCTGGCCTCAACACGACACCGCTGCTGTCTTACAAAGATGGGCTCCCCTGCGAATTTTCAGAGCCTCAAGGCTTGCACGGATCATTACCAGTGTTTAGACATAGCGTCCATGGGATGTTCTAGGGCTACTTAAGTTATGACCCTGTGGAGGAGCCTCTCGTGAGGTCAGAGATGCCAGCTCCATCGCCAGTTTTTCTGTGTAGGCACCGGGACTGCTTCTTGAGGGGGTTGGTTGGAGGTTGAGTCAGCGCAACAAAACACTCCAGCCGTTCAGCACGTCACTTGCGCAGGGGGGGCAACCAGCACTCGACAGCTGAAGCAACCTCTGACGCCCGCAGCTGGTTCAGGACAAAGAATGCGAATGGAGGCAAGGCTCGTAAATGCCACCCCAGTCGTCCTCCATCGTGTCCGGGATCCAGGCCAACGTCCTCTGCTGTTTTAAATCTAAGGACAATACACAGTGAGGGTAACTATAGTTTTCTTTGTCTTTGTGCCAGAATCGTACAGCCATTTCAGATGAAGACAGCTAGAAGTAAGTGTTCAGGACAGTCGCAACATTCCAGAGTCCTCGCGCTAATGGCATCGCCTAGAATATAGAACTGTGGTCCGTCCCATAACCTCACGAGGAGCTATGACTGTGGATGCCTGAAACTCCTTTGCTGTAAATAAAAAAGACGCTCGCACCCGATTCACCTGCGGAAGGGGTGCAATGACACAAGATTGCATTCCTAACGCAAAAAAGTGGTATAGTGTTAAGATGTACAAACAAATAATGTCACATCAAAATGTAGTAAAAAAAAAACATGTAAAAACCCTCTTTTGCATCCGGCCTGCTACTGCCTCTGCTAGGAGCCATCGAAGGCTCAGAGCACACCTCCAAGGCTCCACGGATGGCAAAGCTCAAGGCCCTACCTTCAGAACCTAAAACCCACTTTTTTTGTGGGTTCTTATTACTATCCCTTATATGGGATTTATAGGGACCCCACAAAAAAAAAAGTAGGCTTGGGTTTCTTAAAGTATAGCCTTGAAACCCCCAACCCTAAACTACACCCGGAAACTTTTTTCGCATCCAGCCTGCAAGAGCC